AAAAATATTTTTATTTTACATATTCCTAATCAGATTACTAATTTTTGAGCTACGTCAATGTAAGAAGATGTCACAGGATCGATAAAAACGCGCAGGATTAGAACTCAAGCTCAAGCTTCAATCATCGATCCGACCGGCTGCGCGGCGCATACCGCGTGAAATTACGATCGAGATGTACTCCACGTTGTCAGATTTACGATAAAATACAGAAAACGGAGAAAACAATGATTTGATATAAGAATAAATAAGTTTTTAGATAATGTCGCCAGTATTTTCTAAACGAATATACGAAGCTTTTCTTCGCAATATTTAAAAATAAACTACAATAACTAACAAAATCCATGGAAAGGCAATGACGACTTAGGAAAGGTAGCTCTACAACACAGACTGTTTAAAATAAAAGAAAACAAAGGAAAATCGATAGAATTTAACACACCTGCATATATAGGCTTTGTAGATTTAACCAAGGCTTTCGACAGTGTATTGAAGGTTATTATAGAGGTTTTAAAAGACGAACTAGCATTTTAAATGGATATATGCCGCCTGTAATGAAGTTGGTTTGAACATAAATTTTGGAAAGACAATACATGATCAAGCAAAAATCCAAAAATCGACTGCAACACAACAGGATTAGTTCATAAATATAAATACTTAAGTCATTAAATCCAAATTGCTACAGACAACTAAACTGCCGAACTGCAAAGAAGAATCAGTTTAATATGGGTTACATATCGGAATTCTATTGAGACATCCTATCAACTAAAAGCATCCCTTCAAATCCACCACATGAACGTATGTGCCGAAAGGGATATGAAGTAACGAGAGTTTGAGCCACGTTCTTCAAAAGTGCCCCACAACCCACAAGTTACGTATCTTCGAAAAGCAGCTGAAAAGAAAAGGTGGATATGCGAAACAAAGACGCGAATAAGTCAGGACGGTACTCTTACGTGTCAGTTTCAGCTTACAAGCGAAGCAGTAACATCTCCAGAAGATGTCAACCACTAGTGTTAGCGAAACGTCGAGAACTAATCGCAGAAGCCAACGGCCAACAGCCCGAACAAACATTTAAACAAGTTAAATAAATTATGTTTGCTCCTAACGCCACCTGTTAATAGATTAATATAGCATATGTTGTTTACTTATGATAAACTTGTCAATTTCAGACCAAATATTAACAATAAAATATAAAGATCATTTGATAGTAAATTGAATTAACATATACTTAAACTAAATATTATGTTTAAAAATTAAAATTGTATTTAGCTTGTAAGTGGTTTTAACAAAACGGGCATTTATGATCCAGATGTTTTATCACGAGTTAACAGATTAGCTATTAAAGAAGAAAATTATCCTGATATACTAAAGAGATCTAAAGAGTCTATCATATATGCAAAGTCCAAAAACATTCAATAATCGTCAATCCCATAACCGCGACAATAATAAGAGGATGCTGTTACTCGCCCAACCTCCATCAGAAGAGCAAGGGATTGCTGGTTCATCATCGATTACTCTATTAAAAGAGCATCAAATCACTGGCCAATCATCAAGCCCATTACAAGGGTGTCAAATCACCAAACTTTCTGTGTGCCAAGAAACATCAGGGAAAGTATTTGAGCATACGCTTCTGGAAAAGATAGTTCAAACTAGTGTAAAAAAGAAAGTTAGACGAAGAATTGATACTGCAGAAATAATAACAAAAGAAGAATACATCAGTTCTTTAAAGATAAAAAAGGCCAAGTCCATTAAAGGAAAACAGAAAACCTGTCCAAAAACAATCAAGAAAAAGTCGAAGAAAGATGAATTAGTTAGTGATGACGAGATAGAAGATATGTCTTTAGGGAAAAGTGACGAAGCAGAAGAGGAATTCATACAGGAAGCTGTGACATTAAAACCTGTAAACGAGGAAGATATTAAACAAGGCTCTTTTATAGTTGCAACTTTTATGGATAGGAAGCGTACAACTGCTTTTAGGTAGGTGTGTGTAATTGAAAACTTGGATGACACCAAAGATGAAATAGAAGTGGTACGATTAAAAAGTGTTAAGCATAAAAAGACCTTTGTTGTTAATGAAAAAGACAGTTCATTTATTAGAATGTATCAGCTTATAGGAATATTGATGGATCCGATATTATCCCTATGGTGAAAGATTTCGGTATACTTTTAATGGAAAAGTTGATGTTTTTGAATGATGTTACTGAATTTGTAAAATAAGAAAAGGTTCTCAATAAAATACCTACGATTAATAAAAAAATTGGTGTTTTAAGTAAGAAATTCCATATTTTTTTTTCTAAAATTGTCGAATTTTTTAAACGCTAAATGCTTTAAATCCTTTTAATAAATAATTCAATAAATTAACACACATTTCTAAAATATACCTATTGAATAAATGTAAATAACTTTTAAATAATGTAAAACATCACTTTCTTTTTTAACAAACAATTACACAATACCTACTTCCCATTTTATTTGTTAGTATCTCCCCCCCAAGAACTTCCCCTCTAAATGTCAAACAGTTACAATAAAACCGACGATTACCCATCACCAGCAATCCAGGATAATTTGAACTATGTTTTTCAAATCACTAATTAATAATTCTTGTACCGGCATGTAAGTAGTATTTTTGGTTATTTACTAATTTATTTCAATTTATTAGATTAGCTTATGCCATTTTGTTGGATTTATTTTTCTGCTTTGATCAATTTTATTCATATTAATTATCACAGATACATAATATTGGCATAATTGCAGTAATTTTCTTTATTAGACAGCAATTAAATGGCAAAAAAACTAGTTGCCACACTATCCCTAATCCTAGTCACAGTAACCCCATAATGAAGGGATAGTGTGACACCTTACCCTCTTAAATAAAACATAATGTAAAATTAATTTAAAAAATGTAACATGGCTATTCACTGTTTTATGATTGTGACAATTGACCAGAAAGTCTTCATTAAAAATCTGAAACCATTCAATTAAAAACAAATAGATTTTCTTATTTTAAAATAAAATTTGCATATTTTTACGTCACACTAGCCCTAGGTGACCCTATATGAAATTGTTTTAAAACGAGAATTATTATAAAAATTTAAACAGATAATTCACTGTTGTTATTAACCAGATGACATCTATGACAATCTCTATTATTTTCATTTTTTCCTTCTCATTTAATGTTTATATTTTGGTAGCTATTTTTCATGCAGGTTTTAATTGAAACCTGCTTAGAGTAAATATATGATGACTAGAAACACATTGATCGAGAGTAATAAATCAATGTGAAGAACTGCTAGTTTGTGACGCTATCAGTGACGACGCCATCTTGTGAACCAGTTCCGTGACGCTCGCCTCAGCATTTTACTGTAGAGAAAAAAAATTATACCACGCCATTATAGAAGCTTTGCTTCAAAAATTGTATGTTTGCTTTACCACATAGTTACTTATCAGCCTGTAGAATTAGACATATTATCCTAGTCTGGGGAATGGGAATATCATTACCTAAATTTTTTCCAAATATCTTATTTAAGTCACTCTGTATATTAAATTAATAAATTAAAAAAAACATATATAAAATGTACTTACTTTGATGGTTTACCAAAGTCATATAAAATATTAGCGCCCTTATGGACGATGACTTTTAGAGATTTAAAATCTTTCTGTTAAATATGATATTCTAAATGAGTTTACGAATATCTAAAAATCTCTACTGGGTTCAGCTTCAACCTGAAAAACAAATTGTGGTAAAGTTTGTTTAGAAGTAAATTATAATTATAAGTATTCGCTCCGTGCGTGACTGACGCGACACCTACCGCCTTCATCTGACAATTTTGGAGTCCCAATTTTCAGGTTAAACATATGACATATGTTTGACATTGTTAAATACATGCGAAATTGACAATTATTAATAAATTAGTTTTTTAACTATATTTTTTTCAGTTTATGCACAAAATAAATGTAGTATTAAAAACTGGGTTTCTCAAAATTCATCATAATATATCTTTTCAACTCCAAACGGAGAAGAAAGGGAAAAATCTAGTACTGGCAAATCAAGTTTTTCACGCAAAAGAGCATATAATTAAAAACAATAATAGTAAAAGTTATGATATAAAAGCTAAAGTCATCTGCAGTTAGCTTGAAGCCTTATGAAATATCATTCAAGGTAAATTATTTAAATTTTTTCTATTTCAATTGCATAAAAATGAAATTATGTGATATTAACTTTTTTATATTAATAGCACGAATTCATCTTTTTCTTTTCTCTAATTTATAAGTAATCTTTGGGAACCTATAAAAACTACACTCACTGTTTTTGCTATTATTAGCACAATTAAATACGCAACATGTATTTGCACACACTTTTGATAAAATTTATGCGTAAAAATATTTTGTCCAATATTTCAATTTTGTCATATTTCGCCGCTACGCACGCTGGCATCGTTTCAATGTATCCCTACCATGGTCACGCACGGAGCGAATAGATTTCAATTAGTACCGACTATAAACATCCTGGGTTAACCGATAGTAGTATAAAAGGCCCGGTTTCAGGTAAAATTTAAATATGTTTCCTGGTAAAATTTGTCAATCTTCATTTCTTAATGTTGATTTAATTACGTACAATCCAAACTCATTATAATCTCATTCATACAGATAAGGCTTATATTGACGAAACTGTACTTAGAGGATTTTTCGAATTCGATGGTAGTGCGCGACAGGTTCGCTAATCACCTGTTAAGCGGTTGTCAGGAATTTATATAATAAGTTTATGGAATGGAACACCAACCAGTATTTAAATATGAGTTTTTGATAAAATTTGTTTGTCTTGTCATTATTATTATCCGTGGGATCATATTTTTGTCGATTTTCAAGCGGCATATGACAGTGTCTTAAGACCAAGTCTTTACAACGCTATGAATGAGTTAGGAATTCCAAAAAAACTCATATGTTTGATAAAAGTGACAATGGCGAAGACGCTATCAGCAGTAAAAATTCAAAACGACTCGTCAACCCCATTTGAAATACATAGGGGGTTAAGGCAGGGAGATGCGTTGGCGTGCCAGCTTTTTAATGTCGCCTTAGAAAAAGTTGTAAGAGACGCTAATTTAGATAGCAGGGGAACAATATTTAATAGATCAGTCCAAATTCTAGCATATGCAGACGACGTGGACAATTATAACAAGAACCAGGGCGAGAACTGCAGAAATCCTAACCGAGCTAGTAGCAGCAGCAGAACGAATGGGGTTACATATAAATCAAAATAAAACCAAATTTATTGCGACTAACACAAACACAAGAGCTGGAAATGTTGACGCAAATTTAATCATCAATGACCAAAACTTCGAAGCAGTCAAAGAGTTCATATATCTAGGGACTTCGGTTAACCCCAATAATAACACATCTGAGGAAATAAAAATTGCAAACAGGTGTTATCATGGTCTATCAAAGTACTTAGCGAACAAACGTCTGTATCAAAAAACTCGTATGAGGCTGTATAGAACACTGATAGTCCCCGTTCTCACATATGGATCAGAGGCATGGACGCTAACTAAAACAGATGAATCCGCTCTATCGATTTTTGAAAGAAAGGTGCTACGCAAGATATTCGGAGCGGTCTATGAGAAAGAATATGGAGACGTAGATATAACTTTGAACTGCAGAATATCTACAAGCATACATTTGGTGGTAAAGATATTACCACTATAATTAAGCGAAACCGCCTGCAGTGGGCAGGACATGTTTTGGCGGTGGAAAGAAAAGAGCTTTATGAGAGAAGAGGCCCAAACCTTACTGTGGCTGAGAGAAGACAGGTAAGGGAAAGGTCAGTTGAAAGATGGCAAGAAGAATGGAACAATACGGAGGATGTGGCACAGTGGACGAAAATGCTTATCCCTAACATAAGAGCTTGGGTGGACTGTGGCCACAGGCGATTGGATTATTTCCTGACGCAGGTGCTCACAGGACACGGGTGTTTTAGGGTCTACCTTTATAGGATCGGTAAGGCTGATACAGATGAATGCCTATATTGTGAATACTCGGACACTGTGAGACATACGATGTTAGATTGCAGCAGATGGATAGTGGAAAGGAACAGAATGGAGAGAGAGAGACAGGTGTGAATTTTGTTACAGTGAGAGAAATGATTGAGAGAATGATTGAAAATAAATTAGGTTGGATTAACATACACAGTTATATCCGTGCAGTGATCAAAAAAAAAGGAAGAGGAAGAAAGACAGCTGGACCAACGGCAAAGGTAGAGTGAAAGGTGAAGTTAGAACAGTGGGTCACACTTTTTGAGTTAGAATGCGTGAGTTTGACTGTGGGGAAGGAGGAAATGCCCTTCTGGGAATGATGCCGAACTATCCTACTCCAACTAGGAGTGTGGATGTGTATGAATGGAGAATGAATGAATAAAGGTAGTGCTTCGGAAGTGATGCCGGCCTTACAGCGGCCATTCCGCTTCCGGATCGCTGGATGACAGAGGAGGGTCTGGTTTAGCAGGTAGGCGTTCGGCGTAGACTCGGCGACGAGAGGGCATTTTTAAAGTACCTCGGGAACTATCGCCGGGAGTACGAAGAACGAATCCTGCACTAAGGTTAGTCAGGCGGCGTCCTGGACTGAGATGTCTTTTGAAGATTCCAGACCCCCCCTCTATAAAGACAAAAAAAAAGTGGGCAGGACATGTAGCCTAGGTCTCTGAATCGAACATGATAAAAAAGATTCTAACAGCGCAACCTGTGGGAATGAGAAGACAGGGTAGAACAAAGCTGAGGTGGATGGATGGGGTAACAGAAGATACGGAGAAGATCGGAGTCAGCAACTGGAAAATGCAAGCAAGGGACAGAAAAGAATGGCGTAGAAAGCTTGAAAAGGTTGAGGCCCTCTAAGGGCTGTAGCACCAAGATGATGATAAGAATGAGATGATGGGATAATAATAATGGGGCTTCTTCTAGTGTTCCGGTAAAGAATAAACATTTATCTGTAGATGCAAAGCACATTGTAAAAACTATATACAGTATCTTACTTAAAAGAGGACTAGACACAACTTCCGCTACAATTGAATATGCGATTTGATGAAAATACCTCTGACCACAGTAAAAAGAATTACATCAAATCCCATAAAAACAAAAGAATAATACGTAAAGATTCCAGTTGAACCAAATGTATGGACGAAGCCGATAAGGACTTGATACATTGAAAAGTCTATACCATGTACGAAGAGCAACACATACATTCATTAAGAGCAAATAAGTTGTAGTCTCACCAGCTTATGGAAAATTTTAAAAAGTATGGGCTTTCAATATGGTATAATTGACAAAATACAAGTAATTATGGAATCTCATAGATTACAAAAATGGCATTATGAGTATATAACTTCGATAAGAAAATTCCGTTCTGAAAATCGTCCGATAATTTACCTCGACATGGTTTGACCTTGTTTGTACTTGTTAATTCATTTAAGCCATTGATTTAGTTGCATGTAATTTTTTAAAGAGTAATGAAAAGGGTAATTTAAAGCAATGAATGAATTCCACATCCCCGATAAACTGATAATATTGGCTAAGGCTACAATGCGTAATGTGGTTTGCAAAGTCGAAATACAGGGCGAACAATCACAGGCGTTTGGAACGCATGTTGGGCTGCGACAGGGAGACGCGCTGGCGTGTCTCCTTTTCAACATAGCACTGGAAAAGGCGATCAGAGATGCCCGAATAGACAACAGAGGAAATATTTTTAATAAATCATCCCAAATTTTGGCATATGCAGATGATGTGGACCTAGTTGCCCGCACAACACGCAAGCTAGAAGAAATGTATACCACCTTCTCAAATGCCTCAAAATCTATGGGCCTGCAAGTAAATGAGGAGAAAACTAAGATGATGGCATTAACACCCAACAATAGAGCCAAGAACATCGGTCCCCAATTCACGGTTGATAACTCTACCTTTGAAGTGGTTGACAAATTCACATACTTAGGCTCCCTGATCACCAAAGAGAACCCCATAACGGAAGAAATCAAGCGAAGGATAGTAATGGCAAACAGATGCTATTTTGGACTGAGTAGACATATGAGAAGAAGAAACTTAAGCCAAAAAAACAAAAATTACTATATACAAAACCCTTATACAGCCAGTGTTGACATATGGATCAGAGACATGGACCATCTCCAAGGCAGACGAAGACCTTTTGCTTATATTTGAACTAAGGATCCTGAGAGGAATATTTGGTGGCATCTGTGAAAATGGTGTTTGGAGGAGGAGATACAACTACGAGGTATACCACAGATATAAACAAATATTTGGTGGTAAAGACATAGTATCTCTTATAAGAATAGGAAGATTAAGATGGGCAGGACATCTAGCAAGATCACAGCAGAACTACCCTCCTAGAAGAATCCTTATGTCACAACCCGTGGGAAGCAGAAAAAGGGGTAGGCCAAAACTCAGATGGGAGGATGGTGTAGATGAGGATGGTAGAAAGATAGGCGCAGCAAACTATCAACGGTTGGCAATGGATAGAACTGCCTGGCGTAATAGACTTGGGAAGGTCGAGGCTCTTTCATAGGGCTGTAGCACCATTGATGATGATGAATGAAAAGGGCCGTAACTCAATAACTGTTTTTTTGAAAAAAGAGGTTTAAAAATGTGTTAAACTAATGATGCCACAAAATTCATTTGATTTGAACATACTCAAAAGTTTGGGAGGATTTAGGGCTGCACACCCCCCTTAAAATTTTTCTGCCCGCTTAGATTTTGTTGTTTCTTTTTTATGAAAAATGCTTTCAGAACAAAAAAGAAATATGTCCATTTTTATTACAAAATGTCAAGTAGTTTAGGAGATATTACAAAAAAAAACAATTTTTATCTTGTAACTTCAAAGGGCTGTAACTTTTTTGTGTATCCTTTTGTACTAAAGTAAGTTGGATTCAATCAATTTATTTTTGTCCCCGGAATGAGTGATTTAATTTATGATATACCTTTTTGAAACACCCTGTATTTATGAAGAAATATTCAAAGTACTTGAAAAAAAAAAATGCAAATGTCCACTGAGCAGGGCCCAGACTACCTGATTGACAGAAAAGTAATAGCTAATTTTTTTGGTATGCACAAGGTAGTATTCCCAATAATAAATTAAAAATGGATTCAGCAATAACTGGCTTGTACTATATATACCTATATGATCGTTTTAATGCTGTTTTCAGAAAAAAAATGTTCAATTGTCTCAGAAAAGCATGATCTCATCCACAGGAAAATATCCCAAATTGGTAATGAATTAATCAACCACTAACCTAATTCCACAAATTTAAGTCCTGCCAATTTATCTTGCTTCCTAGCTTAAGGTTCTGATGATCATGATTTGCATTAGATCAGGTCATAGTCATCACTTTAATTATTTTGGGAAGCTTGAGAAAAATGACTTTTTGTAAGACATAAAAAAAACTTGGAAAAATGACTTAGTAAGTGCTTTGTGCCAAAAAATACTAGATTACCTGTTTTAAAAAGTAACCAAAAATTTTATAAAAAATTACCATTATTGCATTTAATTTACATTATGAATGCCAAATTTAATAATACAGAATAACATTGTTGATACAAAAGTGAATTTTTGGATTTTTATTTAAAAAAAAAAAACTATTTTTAAACATATTTTTCTGGTACAATAAACAAGAGGAATCCCCAAGTACATGAGCTTTTAATATAACTTCTTATAGAAAACTTAATAATGATACAATAGATGTACTGTTCACATCAAGCCAACCATTATATATTGACCAATAACTAAAGAATGGCATATGCTTCAGCATAACTAAAATTACTAATTATAAACTAAAAATCATTAAAGTCACTGAATATTTTCTTACAAACCTACCAGATGTCTACACTCCTAGACATAAGACAAAAATTGAAACTTGCAATAAAACAAAGCATCTGATTCCTTATCAGCGAGCTATAAGTGTCATGTGAATGAATGCTTAAGATTAAAACAAAAAATATCACTCTCAGAGAAGATAAAGGTAATGTTACATACCAATGCTGTATGTAACCATTACAAAAAAAGACTAATTTACATGAAATTAAATAAAATTAATGACAACATACACCACTTCATCCTAAATTTATCCATATTAAGAAAACTAGTTGATATAAAGTGACATTTGCACTTCTACCTCTCTGTTTGAATTCTTCATAGTATAACTACATTTTATACCATTAGGAGGCTATTGAATGGTGAGGCTCATGGAGAAGAACTGTCCACATTTTTACCCATAAAAATAGATGTATAAAAATAACTGTGTTCATCAAGTTAATCTTTGGTTGGTGATAATGTGACAATAACCATTCTTCCAATATTTCACAGATAAGAACAATAATCATTGGTAACAATAGAAAGCTGCCTAGGAACCATAGAAACCTGTATACAAGTATTTTTTTCAATTTACATAAGGATTATATTACATGTATTAAAGATATTTGATATAGATATTTTTAACTTATATGTTATAGACGTGAACACACTATATATAGAAATATTTACAAAATAGGGGGAAATAAAAACGAACATGAGGGATATTATATGTCAATCCAACATGGACATACTATGTCCCTTATGCATTTATGTTTCACAATTATTTCCATAAAGCAAAAAGGTACATTAAGAGATTAAAAAATATTTACGCAAAAACGAAACTCAGTAATAACGTAAAACGTCATTACCATATCAAAAGTCTGGCCATATTTACTTTGTAAAAATTATGGTACATATGTGTTATGTTAACTTACCACGTTTCATCAGCATCCAGCAACAGTATCGTATCTAATTAGTTGAACAAAAACCAAAATAGTACGAATAAAAAATTAAAATTAATCTATAACGATGTTATAAATTATTTGCCGAAAAATATTACTAAAGTCCAGCTGCAATTGATATCTTAACTATAAAATTAATCTTTGCCACAGATTAAAACAGGAATCTTCGCACTGACCTGGGCCGTCATGCAATGTCATTTGTCAATTAATCTCAGTGACATTACATTTTCCAATAGTTGAAATGGGCGATTTGGTTACGGTTATTATACTTCAAAACAATCCTTAAGAGGGCGACTGAAGAGTGAAGAACTCAAACCGTGGCCACAGAATAAAATAACAATCAGAATGTCCACTCTCAGATGCCGCCTTTGAAGTGTGTCAGCACGTGATCGCCATATTTTAAACGGAAACACAGACTCGAATTGAGAAATTTATGACAAGCTACGATAGAACCATAATTTAAATTTTTAGAGATTAATAATTTAGTAAATTTGAAATAATTTAATTTATGCTTCAATTAAAAGTACGACATAAAATATTGCATATTATGTATATGGTTGCCGTAAATCAATTAAACCCGGGTAATTTTTCAAGATTCTGTATCTGTATCTATAGAGTAGGGAGGGCGAGTTAAGTTTCACAGCACTTAGGCCACAATTGACCCATTGTGCATCCTCCCAGGGAGCTGTCGCCCTTAGCTCATTGTCCATCCTGCCATTTCTAGGAAGGTGGACAAGTCACCAGGAGACATCTCTCTTATGTGGGCAGGTGTGGGCCAGGACTCACTGAACGCGTACTCTCGTATTAACGATTACTCCGGGCATTCACATAGGACATGCTCTACAGTTTCGTCTTCTCGTTCACACTTTCTATATAGAGGTGTGTCTGCTAGCCCCAGTGTGTGGAGATGTTTGCTTAGTTGACAATGACCAGTTAAAAAACCAACTGTCAAGCGTAGGTTTTTCCTGGTTATTCCCAAGTACTTCTTTGATGCTGACTCTTCAAGGTTACTTAGTGTTACCCTGGCAAGTTTACATTCTTGCCTTTCTTCCCATCTTTTTACGATTTGCGTATGGGAG